TCTCTTGTACCTTCATCTTTTCACCCTACAATATATGCATGTTAAAAAAAAAAGTCAGCAAGTTCATCTATTTTTCTTTCAAAAAGGTCCTTACCTGAGGATAGCTTTTATATTTGTTAGAACTTTGTAGGAAGTTCATAGTAGTCTAACTTTCTATCTATCAAATTTCATTTTCTTACACAGTCTCCTGAAGTTTGACTCCAACTTGATTTTCCAATGTTATTGTTCACTATTCTCTGCTTTAGTATAAATGATCTTCTTGCTTTTCCAGAATACATAAAAATCTCTTATTTTTCATACCCTTCTCACTCTTCCTTTTCTACTTAGKAATGACCTTTTCTTCTGCCTGTTGAATTCTTGAATACATTGATTTAATTCCACTTAATGGTTTCTAAAGCCTACAAGATAAATTGGAAATGCTACAGCATTTTAAAAATCATTTTKCCAATTACTCTTAAAGTTGTATTTTATTCAGCAGTATTATGTGCTTTCAAAGATGTTTTACATGGATCCCTCGAAATATGCTTCTACAAATAAACACACATGTATGTGTACAATATACATATATGTATTTTACTTTCATTAATTTCTTTCATATGTTCACAGTGATAATTTTTACTTTCATGAAGTCAATCAATAAGAAAACCAATGAAGACTGAATTTGAAATTAATGATTAAGAATGGCAGATAAAATCTCATCTGACACTAGTTTTTAATACATTAGTACTTCTTCATTAAATAAAATTTAGAAAGTACTATATATTTATACATATAGTTTTAAATTATAGATTTTTATGATTCAYTTTGCATTTTCATACAAATTTACCAATAAATAAGGATGTGGAAAGAACTTATCCTAATAGCTATGAGGAAATGAATGAGGAGAAGTTACTCATGGACTTCACTGTGTTAAAATTTATTATATAACATATTTCAGTTCATATTTTTATTTATTTATTTTTTGTTTGTTTGTTTTTGTGGTGCTGGAATTGAAMCCAGGGACCAGCACATTCCAGGAAAGTGCTCTATCTCTGAATTATATACCCTGTCTTTTGAGTCCATTTTTTAAAGTAAAAAAAAAAAATTAGTATAGATTTARACTTATAGAAAATTATAAAGATAATACAGGATTGCCATATGCCCTACAATTTACCCATTATTAACATCTTACATTGAGTTACAATGAATGATGGTGCATGAGTTATAATTAATGAATCAATTTTGATATATTAACATTAGCTGAAGTTCATATTGCATTCAGATTTCCTGGGGTTCTCTCTCTCTCTCTCTCTCTCTCTCTCTCTCTCTCTCTGTGTGTGTTTAAATTAAGAATAGATAAACTGTGTGAATGACATTTGAAGAGAATAGTAGAATTATCAAAATACCTCTATAGATAATACCTAAATTTCTGTGAAATATAACAAAAATCAGTGATTTTTCTGTTTTGGTCCCATGGGTCCTGTCTATCACCCTAAGTTACTCTTCCTTTTTCAAATTATGTTTCTCAATAAAGAATGACTTTGTTTTTAATTCCCCAAATAAATTACACTGTTTAATGCCTCCTGCCTGTATTAGCTCTCTGCTTGGATGGTCTCTTTCTCTCTGTCCAGCTAGTGAATTTTGATGAATCCCCTAAATCCTAGGCTAAGAGGCATCTATTCTGTGGTCCTGTTCCTAAAGCTGCTGACAACCAGTCTATAAGATTTTAATTTCAACTGATTTTGTGCAACTAAATACTCAAATTTCCATTGTATTTTGTTTGAGGTATAACTTAGTTTCCTGTTTGACTAAGTTTAATACAAGTTCTGTTTCCTGTAGATACGACATATAGATTTTGAGAAATGTACCCATATTAACTGAAGGGATAGAATATAAAATTTAATAGACCAAAGTACTGAAATGTGTATGTACATGTATATGAATATAGAACCTCTCTCTTTTTTAAAAAATGTGCATATATATTTCTTTCTATGAAGTCAGTAGAAATGAACTAAATTTAACCATTGCTATCAAGATTTAGGTGATTATTTTAAGACTTATAATTTAATATTACAATTAGCATTCCAATGAGAAATATTGATTCAGTAAAATAATACTAATAACAATATTTTGTGAATTCCATATAATTATTTAGCACTTTGATCATAACAGATGGTATTAATGTCTAAATTTTTCAGTGCTGTTTTTATTCACATTTTCTCATTTTGGTTTAAGTTGGTGATAGTTACTATTCTTTGATATTTCTATCAGAAGAGAAAAGAGAAAGAGAATATCAGTCAGGTTTAATTTTGTCCATTTGATTTTGACTTCTTATAAAGAATAATTACAGAATTCCAGGTGAGGATTTTTTTGTAAGATTAATAATCTTGCTGAATCTTTCTTCACTTTGGATAATTAGAACATGCTAGAGTTGTTATATAAGAAGTTAAAATAATAAATCCAGTTTATATTACTACTTTCAATTGAAATTTTAACCCTCTAACTTGTGACTATCTAGGTGAGAATATACTGGAAATAGAACAAGCTTTTGAAATGTGTTGATAATTATTATTTTTCATTATAGCAGGGATCATTGACATTTATGTAGTGTCTAACATTTATTGGTTTCCTATTCATCATCTCATTTAATCCTGACAGAAATCCATTTCTATTGAAACTAAAAACATTATCTCTATTTATAGTTGAGGAAGCTGAAAGAGTGATTAGGGAGCTTAAATAAGATTATATAATCATTCATGTTGCAGAAGAGACCACAAACTTGAATCTCAAAGGAACTCTGAAATAGCATTTTCTTACAAACAAGTTCAGTTTTATTATGTGAGCACTYAATATTTTCCAGGTTACATACTGCATTTGGGGTCCACTGATACAAAAAAAATGTGCCTTTTAATAATTAGTCAAATTAGAAAAAAAAAAGATAAAGAAAAATAATTTCACTTTTTTTTTATCTTTTTTCCCTTTCTCTCAGTGTTTGACTAGAAAAGAAGATGAAAATAAAACAAAACAGGTTTTTGGAAGCATGAATTATAAAGGAAAGTTTGATACAGATTGCTATGAGGAATAGATTGGATCTGATAGCAACAGAGTTAGCAAGATAGAGAGAATGGCACCATTCTTAATAGCCAAGATATGGAATCGGTGTAGGTTTCTGTCAAGGGATGAATGGATAAAAAAACTGACTCATGGACAAGGTGGAATATTATGCTTCCATGAAATAGAATGGAATCATTTTATGTGCAGCAATATGGATGGAACTAGATGACATTATGTTAAATACGTCAGGTACAAAGGCAAGTACTACATAATATAAAAGCTACATAAATTTACTTTATAGATGTAGAGAATAGAATAGTGGTTACAAGAGACTGGAAAGAGTAAGATAAGAAGATGTTAGTAATAACTAGAAGAAAGAAATATGTAGGTTTCCAACACAAAGCAATGATTAATGTTTGATATTCTGCTTATGCTAATGACCCTAATTTGATCATAATATTGTATACATGTATCAAAATAACACACTGTACTACATAAACATGTAGACTTATTATGTATCAATGTAAAATGATAAAAAGAAAAGACAGTGAAAATGGAATAGGTTTGCCATATAATTGGCAAGAATTTTAATAGCTAAACAATTATAACTTATGAGTAAAAGTAAGTAATCAAAGAAAGCTGCTTAAGTTACTCTTCCCCAAAACAGGAATTTATACTAGTTTAAAGTGAAATAAGGAGGAAGGAGTACCATGTTATATTTTTATCAGCACAAACTTCCTTTCTTACCACTGCTCTCCATTCTCAGTGGCTACATCTTCACCAAAATTCACACCTTGATTTCTCCACCTATATTTTCTTTCTCTGAGCAAATATTACAAGTCAGAGGCAGGTATCTGATTCATCAGAAGAAAGGGAAAGTTTTCAGGAATAGTGTGCAGAAATAGAATTCTGATGTTAGTAAATACAGGGGAAAATGAACAGATCACCAGCAGCTAATTAAGAGTTGGACAATTAAGGAGATAAATACAGAAAACGAGAACAAAGTAGGTGTTTCATTAACTGGTTGACTTACATACAAGTACTCTACTCCCAGCTTCCCTGGCAACAGGAACCACTTCTTCCAGCAAACACAGAATATGAAAACCACAGGGCATTACTCTAAGTACTAGTCAGAGAAGCTGGCTAGCAGCACCTTGGGACGGGCTGGGAAAGAGCTGAGAAGTGACTGGGTTTCAGATACAGAATAAAATAAGGAACAGGAAAAATGTGAGGTGCAAACAAATCCTGTGGGTTGAGGAAGTGTAGATATTTGGTAATGATGAAGGGTTGCAGGTTCAGATGACCAGTTTAGTACTGAGAGTAATAACCCTGTGGCTTCCCACTGCCTACTCAATACATATTTTCCATTTTGCTATTTGAAAGAAATCATGGACTGAATAAATGACAAGTTTGTTTGCCTGCTACCTAATGTAAACTGATTCTGGAGTATCAATCAGGCAGGCTGCCCTCTAGCCCTGGCTTTACAGTGTTGTTGGAGAGTTAGACAGGGACTCAGTCTTGTCCTCATCCTCCACCTAATACACAGAGCTCTGTCTTCAATACAGACCTGATTCTCAACTTTTCTACAAAATTCTGCTTTAAAAATAGATGATTAATATGACATGTGGAGAAAAGAATATACAAAATAATTTTTCAAAGCTATTTTCATTAGTTCTCTGAACATCCTCCAAAAATCAGAAAATTAAAAAAAAATTTGAAATTGCTGACAATAAAAGGAAATAATTAAAATTTTAATAAGCAATTCTTAATAAAATGAGAAAAATTCAAAAAAGCTTCCTATTAGCTGACTATTCTGTTATTTAGTTACTTTTGCTGATCTGAAAATTAGATTACTGTAAATTATCAATTATATCAATTTTTTATGACAGCTTGTTTTGTATAATGAAATGCATCCTCTATTTAATTTTGCATTAAGGAATAAAGTGTTTGGTGAAGATATCACTAACCTCTATGGGATAGCAGTTTGTCAAATGATTCACCCCATTTCACTGCTTCTTCAGGGGAGACTCTGTTCAAGAGAAACAAAATGTTTTATAATGCAGTGTGCACAAAGTCTGTTTATGAATCTGTTTGAACATATGCTTATATTACTGCTCTTTTCAGTTATATTTTCACAGGGTTTCCCTTTGATTTTTATATAATGAAAGTTCCATTTACATTAGACACTTCAAAAACATTCGTCAATTCTCTTCTGGAATTTGCCTATCGAGCAGTGGGGTAAAATGACATTACAGATTTTTCTCATGGATGTGTGAATTGTTTCATTTTTTTTAAGGAAAAATTATTTTTAATTAAGTTGAAAAGTTCATGCGCACAMACKTGCACACACACARAAATGAGGTCAACTATCTTTTTTATTTATAAATTCATAAATAGATGAACTTAAACTAAGAATATCTTTCAAACTCTCTCTTTTTTTTAACTGCAATTTCCTTGAAGCTTTAACCACAATATGCTACAAAACCTTTTTCTTAACAGAGACAGGAAGTTTGACTAATGAACTTTCAGAGCAACAAGAAATAAGAGCCATCTTTAATACAAAAAAAATATTTTAGAGATGTTGAAAATATAGACAGTAGAATTTTTTGACTTTGCATCTTGATTGTCATATTTAAGTTTGGAAGAATTTGTATTAAACTAGTTAAAAGGCTATTCCACTTTATTTAAATTAAACACATAAAATTATAAAACATCCCTATGTATATACTGCTTGCTGTTATATGAAGAACATTTTTTAAACTGCTGATAAAGATAAATAGCTCTTTTCTATGATAATATTGCATTGTGAAAACATATTAATGATATGTCATCAGTTTACAAAAAGTAAAATATGTCCTTTAAAACTGCCAGGCATATAAATTATAAAATATAATTATTTAATTCAAGTTATAAAAGTGGCTTAATTTTAGAGATAGTTCAAATTTCTTGAAACAATTTCTCTAGTTTTCCTTATACTACCATGTAATTTCCAATAAAATAGAAATCCCTAATTTCCTTTCTTAAAGCTTTAATTATGGAATAAACAAAATCCCCTCCACCCAATAATGAAAGTTATTCACCTCAATTCTTTGGACAAGGCCTCAAATCTACTGGAGTGGGTCTCTTCATGTGACTCAAGTTTCTGCACAAGAAGACTTAGCCTATTTCTTTTTTCCTTGGCTCTGTAAAAAAGGCAGTAGCTTCAGGACAATTTAGATGACAGGCAAAAATCTTCTTCTGACTACCAACAAATCTGGAATTAGTAAATACCCACTCACAGTCCTCCCTCCCCATACATGCTCTCAGAAATCCTATTTAATTACTATATTTCTGGAGGAATTAGGATAGCAGATATTAAATATGTTCCTCTTTTACCTGCACGACAGACACACATTTGAGATTATATTTCGATACAGATTATTCTAGTTCTTCTTGTGTGGCTAATATTCCTACATCTTTTAAATTGAAAACTCTTTAGGTTTAACAGTTGTTTAATCCAAGTAAGAAAATATTTTTCTTTAATTGTGACAGAACAATCAATACATTTTCAACCAGATATTTTAAAAACAAATGCTAACAAATATTCATTAACCATGATTTTAAAAGTATAACATTGAAAATAATTTTTACCTGGTTTTGGCCTCTTTGCTCGCTGCTTCTTTTCCTAGACCACCATGTATTAACTTGAAAAAAGCTTTTTCTTTTGTTTCACACATATTTAATTGAGAAAACAAGACAAATGATGTTTCCATGTTCCCTCTAAAATGAAGAGATGTCTAGTATCTTACCATCCTTCTGTAGTTCACTGGTGAGTGCTAGTCTGTAGTTATGCATGGTAGAATACAAAACTGTCTCAACTCTTTCAACAGGGCTTCCAAAAAAGAAAGAAAAGGGAAACAGACAAAAGAAAAAGAAAGTTCAGGGCTGTGTTTCTACCTCTGTAAAAATGTAGAACTGAGGAACTGAAGTATAATTCCGTCCTGAGCTGTTGAGGGAAATGATACCACACATTTACAAAATGACGCTGGACTCCAAGATAAAGACGGTATTACCACAGAGTAACTTCTCTTTTGAGTTTGTGCAACCAGAATGATGCTTTAATAGACACAAATGGAGCTGTCATTTCCCACAGGAACTTTCTAAAGGGTTCTTTAATATATATTAAAAGCATTGTGGAAAGTGTAGGAAACATTTGAAGATATTTCCCCTCATCTTAAAAATGTAATTTTATTTATTTTTATTATATTGAGTTAATTAAATTACATTTAATTCACATAGTCTATGTAGTCTTAATTTTATTTGCTTAACATAGTACATCCAAATAAGACTGTGGATTCAAATTTTATGCTTGAAAGGGAGAACAGAAAGCACTTACTTCAATAATTTTTAAACACAGGTCCACAGAATAATTTCAGATGTGTTTCAATTTTTACCACTAACTGATAGAATGGAAAACATATGTTTTTTTTTCCTTAAAACTCTTAATCTTTTTAATATAAAGGATTTTATATTAAAAATATAAAATTCATTGTAGTTAAAATATTCTTTTTAATGAAAAAGCATAACTGAAAATGACAGTTTGTGTGTTGGTATATTTTAAACCCTTATTCAAAAATAAATGTTGTCAACAGCAAATTAGTTGAGTTCTCCTTCTTTCATTGTTGCATGAAATTTAAAGATCGAGAGATACTGATCTAATTCATGATAAGAAAAAAAGAAACCAAAGATCACAGACTTTAAGTGACTTATTCCTGCAAAGTCCCAAAGAAAGGTCAGTGAAAGATCTGGAGTTATCAAGCCTTTGATCACCAATAGCATGTGCTTTAGTTTTTCCAAGAGCTTTTGATCTTTAATGGTGAAAACTTTAATTCAATCAAAAAAATCACATGTTGCATGATGTTTAGCAGTTAGCTCACTATAATAAAAAAGTACCAAGTTCTTTAAAAAAAAAGTTTAAAAAATCAACTTACATAAATGCAAAATACAAAATTTTATTTTTAATCTTTTTGAATTATTGATTTATCAAGACAATTGTTATCAGCTATAATAACTAAGTGTTCAAAAACATTTACTGATTTGAAAATATAAAATACTAATTACGAGGTCATACATACAGCCTCATGGTTCACTGACTTACTTTGAACATATTTTAAAATTCWTCACCTTGATTTAAAATTGGCTGTTAAAAATATTACATATGATGGCATTTTATGGCAAATTAGTAGAACTGTATGTTGAAAAGGCATATTCCATTTCCACCCTGACATATTCTTGTATTGATTAGCATTCCCTGGTTCCTATGTGAATGACAGTGAGAGAAAAATCAAGAGAACATGAACATCATCTAATCCTAAGGACTTTTTTTGAGTTACTATATCCACAGRAGTGAAATACATAAACTTAGTAAATTATTCTTTGTGATAGCCATTGACCATGCTGAGGAGATAGCCCAGGGGTGGAGAGCTTACCTAGTGTGCTTTAGGCCCCAGGTTCAATCCCCAGAACCACGCAAACACACCCAAAATGATCTGTTGAGATTTTGTACAAAATGTGCTATCTGCACAATGATAGAACTATGAAGAAAGAAATTTAGAAAATATAAGCACCAGTAAAACATTCAAAGGCCTGTGTAAAGGTCTAAAAACAGAATCAGGAAAGATATGTGGTTCTAACTCTATGTGGAAAGGAWGGAGCTCAAGTACCAGAGGTAGTCAAATGGTGGCTTCAGCTAAYAATTATTCTTTTAGGAATTATTATTTCTGGAATATGATAAAGCAGAGTCTTTTTTAAAGTTGCCTTAATATTTCCTTTCTAGCTCTCTTGATCTCTCTTGATTTGGTTTCACTTTCCTTCAGCCTAAAAGCCTTTCTTTATCATTTTCTGTTCTTAAATTCTACTGACAACAGATTTTCTCAGCTTTGGATTTTCTGAATTGTGTAGGTGTGCAAAGTGGAGGGACCAAATCAAGCTCTTTAACATATGTATTAAGGATATAATCTTAATTACTTCCTGTCTTCTACTGGTTTTGAAATTAGTTTGTTCTTCCTGTTCTGGGGCCTTCAGTTATAACATTAGATTACTTAGGATCTTTCTTTTTGTTTCAACAAAGGTACTCAATGATATAACTTTTCTCTAAGTAAGTTATAGTATACTGTGCCTCATGCTGTACCAGAGATACTGATGTGTTATTTCTCTGTTCTCATTTGCTTTTAGGCACTTTTATTTTTACTCTGATTTCTTCTGTGATTCGTTGCTCATTCCAAAAATATTTAATCTCCAGGTATCAAAATGATTTATGTTTTTTATCTTGTTATTTATTTCTAATTYCATTCCATTATGATCTGATATGATGCAAAGAATTATCTCTTTTTTTAATATTTGCTAAGACTTGCATTGTATCCTAAAATATGGTTTGTTTTTAAAAAGATTCCATGTGCAACTGAGAAGAAAATGAATTGAGATGTAGATGGCTGGAATATTATCTATAGATATCTGTTAGTTTTATTTGATTAATTCTTTTTAGTTCTGAAGAATTTTAACTTATTGTATGTGGATGATCTACCTATCTATTGATGAGAGAGGGTGTGTTGAAATTACCCAGTATTATTGTTTTAGGGGCTATTTGATTCTGTATTTTGAGTAGAGTTTGTTTTATGTCAGTAAGTGCACTGGCATTAGGATCATAACTATTTATAATCATTATATTCTTGGATGATTCCCTTAATCATTATGAAATGACCATCTTTTTCTTTTATGGTTAATTTTGACTAGAAATTTACTTTATCAGATATAAGAGTAGCTACTCCTCCTTTCTTTTGGTCTCCATTAACATGGTATACCTTTTTCTATCCTTTCACCTTCATCCTATAGATGTCTTTGACTATAAGGTGACTCTTTTATGACAGTATATTGGGTATTTTTTTTTATTCATTCTGCCAATCTATGTCTTTTGATTGGATAGTTTAGACCGTCTACATTCTGTGAGATTATAGAGAGTCAATTTTTATTTTCTGCCATTTTGATTTATTTCTAAAGTGTGATTTATACTTGATTGTCCTTTAATTGCCTCTTTTCCAGTGAGATTCACCCATATACTGCCTCTGAAATTTATTTTTAATTTACTTTGTGTGAAATATCTCATAGAGTATGTTTTGTAGTTTTAGCTTAGTGGTCATAAATAATTTTATTTTTAATTTATCATAAAACATTTTTATTTGACTTGAATTCTGAAGAATAGTTTTGTCTAATACAGCAATGTTAGTTGGAACCCATTATCTTTCATGGTTTGGGATTATTCCAAGGCCAACTGACTTTTAGGTTCTGGGCTAAGAAATCAGTTGAAGTCCTAATTGGCTTACCTCAAAATATAGCTTGCTGTTTTTCTTTTGTGGTTTTAAAATTCWATCATTTTCTATGTATTAGGTGTTTTAATTATAATGTGTCCGAAGAGGATCAATTTTGATCTTGTTTATTTAGGATTCTGAAAGCATCCAGTATTTGGATTTCCCTATCATTCTTAAGGTTTGGAAAATTTTGGGATATTACTTTGTTAGAAAGTTTGTAGTTTGTATTTAAGTCTTGAAATTCTGCTCATGGTCTCTTAACATCTTTTCTTTGTTGTCTTTGAGACCCGAGAATCTGTGGTCTAGTCTAGTGGTGATGCTTTCTACTGATTATTTATTTATTTATTAAATMTTTTATTTCTAAGATTTCTGTTTGGTTCTTTTCAAGAATCTCTTTCTCTTTCTTGGAATGTTCTTTTACTTCCTACATATAGTCTCTCTTAGTTTATTTCTTAGCTCTTCCTTTAATATTTTAATTATCAACTTTCTAACTTCTTTCTCTGGCATTTTCTCCACTGTGGTGTCAATGGGGTCAGTTGTGATGTGAACAATTTGGAGTGGCTTGTTCCATTGATTTTTCATATCACTAATATCCTTACCCAGCTTTGGGGATGATTCTCTCCTTTTCTTTTACATAAGAGATTTTTTAGTGAGCTGCTCTTTCCATAACATGTGTCCTGGATTGGGTGATTATCTTGGTGTCAATATTTTCACTCAATTTGTACTTGCTACTATGTTCAGACTCTAACACCATACTGAGAGGAGATAATAAATTCCAGTAATTATAGTCCCTTCAGAAAATGCCTTATACTAATAAATCTTTTTTTAAAAAACACACTAACAATGCTCTTCAACAGCCCACTAATCTATTTTTGCTAGTCAGATTTTTGAAATAGTGTTTCTATTTTCTGGGTTTTCAGTTATTGGGCAGTTTTAAAATTCTCAACTCTGACGCAAAGTGGTCAAAGTATGCAGAATTTCWCTATAGGGATCTCTCGTGGCTGGAAAGCTCAGGTGTACCTGCCTCTTCTAGGCATGTCAGATCGTGTGCTGGGTTGAGAAGATGGGAATGTATTAGCCTATCCTCCACCCCTTCTAGATTTGGATCACTAGATTTGGTTTGAATTTAACTGTTCCCCAACCCCTATGTCAAACTGGCTCCTAATCCCAGAGTTTGGATTGCCTGTTTTAAGTAAAATCTTTGTTCTTCTTGGTTTTGTAGACTCAATTTTCAGGTGCTGAATTGTTGTTCTGATTACACTTGGAGAACTGCTATGATAGTGTGGCTTCCTTTGAACATCTTATTCCATTCTTCAAAGGGACAGACTACATGGATTAAAAGAATTTTTAAAACATAGTTAATTAAGAGTAAAGACGTTGGGATATGAAGGCAAAAGGAGGGTTGGAATATTAAAAAAAAAAAGAAGAATGTAGAGACAAGGTCATGGGTCATGCATGGAGGCCTAAAAGAGGGAAAAAGTGAAGAGGTAGAACAGAAATCTTTTTTTTTTCCTATTAGAGGGAAAGGTGAGAAAGGTAAGAGTAATTAAACAAGCGAACAAGT